ACCTCGGTGGCTTCGTCAACGAACATGGCGACCTCACCCGGAAGATCAACCACAGGAGCAGAGGAGCGTGGCGTGGGCGTGCCTCGGGCCATATGGCCGGGAGCTCTTCGACAGACCGAAAGTGCCATTCCGACTCAAGATCCGCCTGTTCCAGGCGGAGGTGATGGAGGCAATACTGTACGGCTGCATGACATGCTCACCACTCAGCGGCCACTATCAGACGCTGTGGTCGATACACCACCGACTGCTCCTTCGAGTCATCGGGTACAAGCGCAAGAAAAACACCTACCGGCAGCTCTCTTACGCCGAGACGCTAAAGAGGGTCGAATGCCAGAGCGTTGAAGCCACGATCCGACAACGACGCCTACTGTTCGCGGGAGCATTGGCAAGGCAGCCGGACGGGCGACTCCCGAAACGACTGATGTTCGGCGAACTGGCAGGGGGGGAGAAGCGACGTAGGGGGGGACAGGAACAGAACTGGCCGAAGTGTGTGCTCGACGACCTGAAGGCATTCGGGGCCGACCACGGATCTACGAAAACCGATCCATGTTGTCTCGGAATCCCGGTACCGAAAGACACGGCACCGAAGTTAAAGTGGACGGAAGCCGCGAAGGTGGAGGTGGGAGCACCTGGCGTGCGGCGGTGCTGCAGGGAGCTGAGAGGTTCATGACCTCATGGTACGAGAAGGAAGAAGAGGCCAGCCGACAACGAGCGCTCAAACGATTCCACAAGTCAACAACCAATGGGGCGGGAGGAGGGCAGGAGACGGACGAGGCGGCGAGGGAAGAAAGCAAACGAGAAGAGACGGACCGAGTGGCGCGATACGTGCCGGATTGAATTTCTTTTAGCCAATTCCCCCCCCCGCTGCACCATTGCACCAACCCCCCACTAGTGATGACGTACCATTACAATGTATCGCTGGTTGGTGGCCACGTTTGCGTGTTTGCTTGTTCGTTTGTGGTCTCTCCACCGTGTGCTTTCGGCCTGGTCCCTTTTTGTCCTCGCTCTCTTTCATTTTGTTTTCTCTTTCCTTACTGTTTCCTTTTATTATTTTCTCTGTTTTCTCTGTTTTCTCTTTTTCTCGCTTCTTTTCTCTCTTTTTCTGTGCCAGATGGCCTTGTCTCTGCTTGCGTTGTGAAGTACTAAGATTGGACCAAGGGGGTGTACCTTTTTCTCTTCGGCCCGTGATGGTGACTCCTAGTCTCAGTTGTTACCTCGCATAGCGCGCAGAGGGAGTAGAGGACTCCAGAATATCTGTCGTTGATTTCTGTTGACTTGCGGACCCCTCGGGGNTTCTGTGCCAGATGGCCTTGTCTCTGCTTGCGTTGTGAAGTACTAAGATTGGACCAAGGGGGTGTACCTTTTTCTCTTCGGCCCGTGATGGTGACTCCTAGTCTCAGTTGTTACCTCGCATAGCGCGCAGAGGGAGTAGAGGACTCCAGAATATCTGTCGTTGATTTCTATTGACTTGCGAACCCCTCGGGGGCAGTTTGTTTGAGTGTACCTTTTGAGGGTAAGTTAACTTGTGACCACGGGAATCGACCGCGTCGAGTGTTGGATCGGTACGGACATACGGAGGTACTGGGTAGAGAGAGATCGGAACGTTTTTTTATGTGAAGGCAACAACAACAACAACAACAACAACAACTTGGGTGTGCTGCTGCTGTGCAATGCCCCCCTCAGACATCCGCGTGGGACGAGCGTTTGGGTGATGGCACCAAGCCCAAGCACGGAGACGTCCACTCCAAGACCTGCCCTCCTGATGCTCGAATACTTGACCCGCCCGGGGATCCGGGGGGGGGGGTTCCTGGAAAAGAGGAGGGCCCCGCCCCTGCATCTTCTTCGTCTTCTTGGGCGGTACAGGTGGGCACATCGGCGGCGTGAGGGAGGTATGGTTGTGGCAACTTCAACGAGGCTAATATGCATGGAATGATCGACAGTGACAGTGTCACGATCTCACAAGTATTTTTGGTCAGTCCGTGTTTTGATGCGCGTACGTCTTTCACCCACTTTCCATATTCCAATCAGCGTGCCCGCTCCCCTCGCTCCCCCCTCGCCGACGCTTGGAAACCGTTAAGCGCCAATGCAAGTCATCAGTGCATTTCGCTTCTCCTGTTTGCCACCAAACTTTGCTCAATCCATGCATACTCTCCACAGTAGCAAGCAATAGCAACACTACCCACATGTTTGGTTTAGTCAACCGCCCATCCTGCTGTACATTTACACCCCGCCGGAGGGGACGCACTCCGCCTCTCTAAAGCTGCACCGAGCTCACGGTACCGCACCCCATCTCCAATCCACGCCTCTCCCCGCTTGGTATAACAGCACGATTCGGAGCACGATCCGGAAGCTCTTGCGAGGGAAACCGAAATCCTGGAAGGCTGGGAACGCTTGCACCCTCCTCCGCAAGCACCGGCACCAACACGAGCACCAGTAGAAGATGACTATGTTGTTGGGCCGAGGAAGCCTTCCCCGCCGCCGGCGGCGGCAGCGAAGAGCAACGACGGCAACGGCGACGGCAACGGCGACGGTAGTAGCACCGTCAACGACGACGCCGGGCAGGAGGAGAGCATCAACGGGGGAGACGGGTTCGGTGGCGGCGGTGGCGGCGGGATCAGAAACGCCTGCAGCGGTGGCGGCAAGGGAGGCTCGGCAAAAGGCGGGCGGAAAAGAAGAAAGCCCGCAGCTACCGTGGAGTCGATGATCCAGTGAGTTCGAGTCCGAGACTAGAGGTTGGCGCAGGGCGCTCGGCTTGCCCTACCCAAATCCAGGCCCTGACCCGGGCCGTGGTCCAGTAGGAGAGAGATGATTGTTTTTCGGCCTCGGGAAGCAGGGATTATGAAATAGTAGAAAAGCTGCTGTGACCAGGGTTGTTTGTACAACGTCGTCGGGTGCATCGCTGTAGCTTTCCAAGGGTCCCCGAGAAGAATCATGTGTTTTTGACTTCGCGGGTGCGGTAGGGTTGTATGTCTCTCCCGATGCTTCCACGATCCCGCTGGAGTATTTATTGGAGCGTGGAGTTCGTGACAAGAACGGTTCTCACGAACGGTTCAAAACGAAATGGCAGGCAGCCGTAATTTAGAATGCCGACCCCGAAACGAACTCCGGGGGACGGAACAGTCGTGGGGGGCTTCTTTCTTTTGCAAACACGAAAATAAGGGTGGGGCATCTGTCATGACCATTGCTTGAGCACGCAGCGACGGATAGACGTGGTTGATTCCTTAGTGCCAAAATCGACCTAGACGAAAACAGGTATCCGCATCTCCTCAACACCGTCTTTCCAGTCCATCTCTCGCGGCATTGTTGTTTCTCCCTCGACACCCAACGCGCACATTACATTTAGCTGACGCTGCTGTACCTACCCTGACCCCCACCCTAACCTACAACCAAGGCGGGCTTTCGAAGACGATCGAAGGATGACCCTCCGGCTCAAGTGCCCCTTGCAACAGCAACGAGGAGGTGCAATGGACCCACTGGTAAGCTATCGTCGCCCCCGCTAGCTCGGTCTAGCGTTATTGTGGACCTGCCCCACGTGAATCCGAAGTTTTGAGTCGTTTCTGGGGCAGCTACCACGGGAGACAATTGTTGTATGCCCTAGCCTACAACTGTACCTCTAGTTTCGTCTGAGATCGTGAATGCGCGCACCACCTCACAAAAGAAAAACACATATTTTCTCTCGAAGTCCGACTTCCCCACACTACGCCTCCCCTGATGAGCGTGAGGCGATGCCAACTCCACTATGACCTCGTACTTACAGGGCACAAACATGATGTGGGGAACTCGTGAAAGCTTTTGTCCGGAAAATATCGGCCGCCCGGTATTCGCTCGCCCGTAGGCCCGAGGTCCCTTCTCCTACACCGGCGGTCGGTTTTTCTCCAGACCAACACATCCGTACACACGACCGTGCAGTGTTGCGCACACATCCGGAGTGCCTGCTCCTTTGCAGCTTCTTGCGTGTGCTTACTCAAACGGATCGGTGTGTTTCTTTGTTCCTTTCGGTTCGATGCGACACGATGATGATGATGATGATCGACGTAGATCACCACGAAGCTCCCTCAGATGGGGGCACAGCCTACGGCTACGGCCACGGCGGCGGCGGCGGCGGCGTTGACCACGGCGACCTCGGATCGGCAGGTGGGCTTTGGGGATACCTGCAGCTAGACTGCGGTTGTTGAGCCGTCCCTCCTGAAAACACGTCCAGCCGACTACGTGGCGCTGTTCCATGGTCCCTATCCTTCCCGCTCTCGGCTGAACGTTACGCACCCTGTCTGACGTAGACAGACACAATACTCGCTCTCCGAGATGAGCTATTCCGCGTTGACCTCAAGCCTTTGTTGCTTTCCCCCCCCGTCGGTGACGCCACAGAACAATCAACCATCGCCATCGGTGGTTCTTGGCCCTGAGCAGCGAGAGAAGGTGAGGTTTCGCTTTCCCAAGAGGGGAGTGGATCAACGGATGTGCGTGAGCCACGCGGAGATAAGCCGTGCAACAGCTTTACCTACTACCTGTCATGTCGTAGAGCAATGCACACATGTTAAGCTGTCGACACGACAGCACAGGCTCGACGACATGTAAGTCGGTCACCAGAAGATACGTTCCACGAAACGAAAATGACGGTTGCCTCGCATTCTCTACCTTTCTTGAGCTTTTGCAAATGCAGCAAGGGCGGCATGCCCTTGAGACAAGAACAGCTTACAGCAGTGGATGGAGTCTTACTCAGCCGTACCATGGAAGATTTTGGTACTGACACGGCCGGCATATTGACTCGTGTTCAAATGTGTTCGCTAGGTGATGATGGTGTAGGATAGGGACTCGATCGCAAAACTTATCTGCCACAACTGAGGTGGAGCTCTCCCTGCACCATCCTTGTCGTGACGCCATGTGCGTCGACCGCCAGGCGCAGCGGCTGATGGAAGGATACAGCTCCAACAGTCGGAGGAGCCTAAGCGCGCCCTCGGGAACAACACCGTCGACGGCTATACCGCCGGAGGAGGAGAGGTCTACTCTGCCCGTCAGTCTAAGGATCGCTGTGGGTCGGGCCAAGGTATCGGCTGACAATATGATATGAAGAATGACTCGAATGTCAGCTATTGTTGTTATAGAGAACCTCCTCTTGCAACAATTATGCTGTGCACTGGTCTCAAGCTTGTTTCGGGAGACGAGGAAAACGTGCGAAAAAAACACTCGGATTACACGCATGGAACGAACGAGCCTTTTGGAAGAAGTACAGGCACAAATCACGCAAACAACCATCGGAAAAATATTAACCGCAGAAAGAAAATATAACACTCCTCAAAATCGGTACGACGGAGTGTCTTTTACGGTCTTAAAGGAGTAGTCGGACAAATGAGGTAAATTCTTAATTTCCATTCTTGAAGTCATGTTCCTGTTCCAAAGACTGTTTTCATTTTGTGCTCTATCTGTTGATGTGGCACGGAAATGTTCCCTCGAGGCACAGCCTAACCCACTTTACCCTGCCCCTGCTAAAATCTGTTCTCTCTATATCCAACCAGGAGTGGCGACGACGAAGGGACGAAGGGAACGCTCGGAGGAACACCCGCTCGGTTGCCGTCAGGGTAATATATCCACCAGTGTTTGAAGAAGTAAAGCTAGCATGCTGATGTACAAGAGTAATCTAACGTTAAACTCAATAACTGAGAGAAAGAGAGCGCGTAATCCAATAGTTAGAACGCGTATATTCCCAAACGTCGTTGTCTCGAGGAGGCCCCGGTTGGTTACAGGGTTTCGTGATTTCCGTGTTTCACGCTCTTGGACATGCCGCCCACCGACACTATCTCTGCGCGGTGTATAGTATACCTTCTTTCTGGTCGAACACTGGCACGGAATGAGATTTGTGTGCACACCCACGCTCTTCCTCCGTGTTTGTGCGTAGACCGAGCGGTGAGGAGGGAGCGCCGTCACACCTTTCAAAATCTATCTCAGTTTCCCATGGTAGACGGCGTGGATATGTCGACAACGCGTTCCTCACGAGCTCGACCCCCGTTCTAGCAGAGTTGAACACGCACCGTTCCATCTATTGGTTGCTTGATCGTTGATCGCTTCGCACAGGACGACGTAACACCCCATTCTTCCGCCCCCTTTCACACTACCACCACCAACACCAACAACCAACCACGCCAGATGCACACTTTCGACTTCGGCGGGGTCACGGCCCCCGAGGAAGGTGTAAACAAGGCTGCATGATAGGGCGGAGCAACGGACGCAGCGCGGGTGGGCGGAGCGGAGGGTGTAGTGAAGTCAACAAGGAAACATGGCAAGGCCCCAGCATGATTGGCTGGTACTACATTGGAACCGCCCTCGCCCAGAGATTCTCGTTAGCGCGACATTGTCGCGGAGGGAGCGAGCGGAGATCGTGTCATTCCTTTCATGACTCCGGAGGCCAACCCGGTTGAAATGTTTTTTCGTAGAACCCTGAAACCGGAGGTTGTTGATATCAGGACCCAGTTCTTGAATTCCTTTCGTTTTGTTAATGTTCGTAGACGCATTCAATAGGAAGTGCTTAAACAAGAAAACTAAAACGATGACGGGGGTGCCCTGTGTGCCCTCCGGGAGACAACGGCAACCGCCCTCGTTCATGCTATGAGTAAAAGAAAAGGCCAGAGAATCATTGAGGAGGCTTTTTCAGAAAAGGTCGGCGGGACCCCTCTGTTGATGTATGGTGTGAACGTGTGCATGCCAACACACGGCGTCATCGCATGTTGTTCGGGCTAATATGCATAAACCACGACGGAAACCATTGGACATCTCTTGCGTGTATTCACAACATTATTTGTGGCGGACAACAGATAAGTCAATCTGGTGCGGGTGTAGTCTCTCGCAGCGACAGAGTAGTCTGATTGTGATGTGACCTTGCTTTCGGCGGGCACTTGCTAGGTACGAGTTGTGATTTTCAGACGCAGAATTTACCCACCGATCGATTGCAGGTTGCGCAATGGCCCCCATCGTCCGTTTTACAGTCTAGGTGTTTCATACAGCATGGGTAGCATGTATCTGGATGTATTTTATGTAGATGCATCGTTCGGCGTCTTGTGGACAAAGGGTCATCAACGGCAATGCACATCTACGCTGCTGCTGCTGTACGTGGTGCCCCGTTTGCTGCTGCAGCTACTAGACTATATGTACTTCTGTAGATGACACCCGAACACGCTAGTGTACAGCAGCAGAGCAAAGAGGTCTACAGCAGTGTAGACTAGTCTAAAGAGACGTCTAGACTACTGCTGGCTAGACTACACGTGAGAGGTCGGCGCAAACACGATATGTGTTCACTGGATGATCTGTCCAAAGTTGCCTGTAGAACAGAACGTAGTTGGGTATTTCCCTTTCGGAGCCCCCCCCGCCTCGCACCGAACTACACTGTACAATTCTACACTTGCAGCTGCTGCTGCTGCAGAACACCGAGACACGGCAAACCAGAAAACGAGACTGCGAGGGAGCTGCTGCGAGGGTGTGAACACTGAAACGGTTATTTCGGGGCTTTCCACTTCGGTCGCGAGGCGTGTTTTCAAATTCAAATCTCGGATCAATTTTGTTCCTCTCTGAAGGCCTGAGGCATTCAGGCAGGAGGTAGAGAGTGCTCCACCACCACGCGGCGCTGAGAGACAGCGCATCGAAGATGAGAGACATGGACGACGAAGATATGGACCTGCTGGATCTATTCTCCGGCGAGACAAGGCCATCTTCGTCGAATTGCCATCCTAGAGAGAGCAAAAGGACAGAGGTGCGAGAATCTACTGCTGTACACCAGCACACAGGAATTAACTGCTGTTCTCGCAAGGGGCAGCATTCAGCAGCCAGGATTAAACGCCATTACCGCAACCATCCGTCACAGCCACAAAAGTTAGATGTCAGCTGGTGACACAAGAGGTTGTTTTTGTGAGTGCGTTCCGCAACAGCTTCACGAGCCACCCTCGACCTTTGCTGCAGTTTGCAGAGAAAGATAAGGGGGACCCGAGTCGCAGGTCGATTTGAACGCACGCCTTTTTGACGAACAGCAGGCGTTCGATTTTGGCGTGCTCCGCACAATGTGTACTTGCCCCCCTGTTGCTGGGAGTCTACGGAGCGAGCCCCCTCCAGAGCAAAAAGTAATAATCTGGGCATGCCCAGAAGGTGCCCAGATGCCCAGAAATGACTTGAAAAAATACAATTTAGTCCGTCATTTTCATGCTCCCCGATTTTTCTCCACTCTTAACCCCTTTGCGTCCAGCTCGTTTTTTCAGCAAAAAAAAATAGGGGGGAGAGACTGTGGGAGAGAGACAGAAGTACAGCAGAAAGAGACGTGTGTACTTTTGTAGACGCAACAGCTATCTCCACCCATAGGCCATGAGGGCTGTCTACGACAGGACGGTGGGCACAGACAGGGTCATAGAAGGGTTGATGTGTGGTAGCGGTGCGGCCGCTAGGGCAGGTTAGGCTTGTAGACCTCGAAAAGATCAGTCGTCAAGGAGCCTAAACTCCTCTATTTTCAGCATACTCAAAGTACCAGTGAAAATGATCGGTGAGAGGGCTTGTTGTTGTTGTTGTTGTTGTCTTCACATTAAAAACCACCCCGGTCTCTCTATCCAGTACCTCCTTCTGTCTCAATCTCTCCGTACTAATCCATCACTTGACTCGGCCAATTTCCGTGGTCACAGGCTAACGTACCTAGAAAAGGATACCAAAATAAAATGGACCCCAAGGGTCAGCAGAGCGATAAAATACAAGAAAACAAAATATAATCAGAAACAAATAAAATAAAA